CAGTTGACATACAAGATTACAGGGGTGGGCAAAAGTAGGTTTATAGTTTTGAATACACAAAACAGTTTACACTTTATTATTATTTATTTATTAATTATTTATTATTTATATCACAACTGTAAGCCTACTTTAGTTCACCCCTGTATAGTAGTTTCAGGTATACAACCCAGTGATTAGACACGATATAACTTATTAAGTTAACACCCTGATAAATCTATAAATCTTTAACTAACAATTTGTACTTCTCAATCCTTTCACCATTTTCAGTCATCCTCCTAAACCCCACCCCATCTTAAAGAAGACCCCATAACATTTCTTGTAATACTAGTTTGGTGATGATGAACTCCTTTAGCTTTTTCTTGTCTGGAAAACTCTATCTGTCCTTCAATTCTCAATGATAGCTTTGCTAGGTTGAATAATCTAAGTTGTAGGTCCTTGCTTTTCATCACTTTGAGTATTTTATGCCAGTCCCTTCTGGCCTGCAAGATTTCTCTTGAGAAATCAGCTGACAGTTTTTATGGGAGCTCTCTTACAGATAACTAACTGCTTTTCTCTTGCTGATTTTAAGATTCCCTTTGTCTTTAACTTTTGGCATTTTAATTATGATGTGTCTTGGATTGGGTCTCTTTGGGTCCATCTTGTTTGGGACTCTGTGCTTGCTGGACTTGTGTGTCTATTTCCTAAGCTGTAACTGAAAGCAGGTCCAGCTGCCTGTTGCTACAAAAGCCAATACTTGAGAGGCAGGTGCTGCTGTAAAGGAAAGATGGGGGGTTCATGTCTCAAAGCCCATCCACATCTCAGTGCAGGCAGAGGTTTTTATAAAGAGGGAGGGGAACAAAGAGATCAAAAGGGGGGGTGGAAAAGTTCTCTGCCTGCAGACAAGCACAATCTCCTCTGATAAGGCAAGTGATGGTCCGGTGTGCATCATCCTGGTTTATCATCCTGGCTTCACATCGTCCTGGCTTTATATCGCTCTGGTCCTATGGTTGAAGGGCAGCAAGTCTCCCAGAGCTGGGATGCCTGAAGGTCACATTCTGTATGTTTTGAAGTTAGTTCCTGAGATTCTTATAAATTAGAAGGCAGTTTATCTACAAGCTACATATAAGTCAGAGTTAGCATTTAAGGAAACAACATCAAAAGAATGGTGGGGTGGGTTACAATTTTCCACTGTTACATCACCAGATTAGGGAAGTTTTCCATCATTGTATTTTCACATAGGTTTTCAATTTCTGGCTCTCCCTCTTCTCCTTCTGGCACCCCCATGAAGCAAATGGTGGTATGCTTGAAGTTGTCCCAGAGGCTTCTTACATTATCCTCATTTTTTAATTCATTTTTTCTTTTGCTGCTTGGGTGTTATCTTGCTTCCTCATCTTCCAAATCTCTGAACTGATCCTCTGCTTCTTCTACTCCATAGTAATGTATTCTTGATTTCTGGCTGGTTCTCTTTTATGTTTTCTAGTTCCATTTGTATGTTTTGTATCTCTTTGTTGATGTTCTCACTAAGTTCATCCACTTTTCTCCTAAGCTAATAGAATATTGTTTTGACATCTTTGTCAAAAATCAGCTGATCATGAATGTATGTGGTCATTCCTGGACTTTCAATCCCATTACATCGATTCATATGTCTATCTTTGTTCAAGTACCACGATGTCTTGATTATCGTAACTTTGTAGTATGTGTTGAAATCAAGAAGTGTGAATCCTTCAAATTTATTCTTTTTTAAGATTGTTTTGGCAATTTTGAGTTTCTTTCATTTCCATATAAATTTTATATATTCCTTCAATTTTTACAAAATAAACAGTGGGGGAATTTCTTTGCTGAATGATAAATTTGAGTCCATTACTGTATTAACCATATTAGATCTTCCAATCCATTAACATGAGATGTCTTTCCATTTATTTAGGTTATCTTTGATTTCTCTCAATAATATTTTGTGGTTTTCAGGGTATACATTTTTAATGTCTTTTTATTAGATATATTCCTGCATATTTTATTCCTTGTAATGCTATTGTAAAAACAGTTTTTTTAAAAAAAATAAACATTGCTTTTTAAAGTAGTTTTAGGTTCTCTTATAGACATGTACAAGGGTAGTTACTGAGTAAGGAAGGTGGGAATAACACATTGGGAATGACCACCACTACCACCATAGACAGAAACACATCCTGGAGCACGTGTTCTACTAAGGGTACAGTAAAGCAAGTCATCATCAATATCATCATCATCATCATCATCATCATCACTATGACAGGGGCATTATCCCATGTTCACTATGCTCAGAGAACTTTGTTGTGCCCTTTATGTCTTCCTCAGTCCTTACAACACTGAGGTAATAATCCCATTTGATAGATGAGTTAACTGAGTCTTTGAGAATTTGAATAATTGCTTGAGGTCTCTCCAATAGTAAGTATTAAAGCCAAGAGTTGAAAGCCAAGATTTGAAAGAGTTGAAAGTTGGAGTGTGTGGCCAGAGTCCAGGCTCTAATACACTCCACGTACTGCCTTTTGTTACGTACATGAGGTACTGAAGGACTGTAGTTTGCTAAGAGATTAGTTTTATAAAGATACCAAATGGTGACTTTTTGAAAAGATGGCTATGGAGAAATTACAGCACTATAATAAATGGTTTTACCGTCAGATACACAGCTGTGGACCAGCAGATGAAATCACTGATCATCCAAACCAGGCTTAGGGAGATGGGGCAGCTCGGTGCCCACGGCCTGCTCTGCTGCTGCTGAAGCTGGCCTGCCTGTCTGCGGGCCCTGCCTTTGCACATCCTGCCTCTGAGCCTTTACCGCTCTCATGTTTTCTCCCTGCATGAACCTGGAAATACAATTTTGGGGAGCTCTTAAATTTTCTTCTTTTAATTTAAGATGTGGCCATAACAAGACTGCAGAAAGTTCATGCAAATAGCACTGGCATTTAGTAATGTTTCTGAAAACAGAACCCTGAAATTTTAGTAATTATAAATGTCACTGTGATTCCCAGAAAACAGGCACAAGAGCCATGGTGGCAGAGGTATCTTTCATGGAAAGTGCATACAAAAAGCATTAGTTTGGTTTCAAAAGGATGAAGCTATCCTCATGTTTTATTTCCATGTGTTGAGTGAGCAGAGACCTTTCAACGTGGTGTGTACTGCGACAGGGAAGATGATGTGATACTGCATTTCACTGGCCTAGATTTGAGCTTGAGGAGATGGAGAAACCAGATTCTGTTCTGAGAATGATTTCACAGCTCTACTTTCTCAGAAACAGAGAGGATTTACTGATTTCCTTCTAAGAGCTAGCCTTTGCCTAGGCAAGCTGGGAGGAGGCAAAGGTTCATCAGACATGAACCTGACACCGTATCATACTCTCACAGAACTTTGGCCCATCTGGGAAGACACATGTGCACATAAAAACACCAGTTCAGGTGCTCAGAGTGGTGTGGTCAGCATGCTCAGATTCTGTGGCAAAAAGGAAGGGGGTATTCTTAATGGGGAAGAAACAGCATTGTATGGTGAGGCCAGAGTCTGCACTGGGTGCTTTGGACCTGCATTCTAGGGCCGGTGGTGCTGAGTAAATCATTTGAACTTTCTGGGCCTCACCTTCTTAATCTCTAAAAGTAAGCGTTGTTTTTCCCACTGACCTTTGACAGTCTCTATAAAGTAGGATTTGTTTAAAAGTAGCTGCCATTTACTGAGCACTGCCTAGACAAGTATAAATATTAACCAACATAATAACCAAAAGATGTGGTTCCAATTACTAGTCCCAACTTATGGATGAGGGAGTTGGGGTTCCAAAAAATTAAGGAATTTGCTCTTATATGTCCAAACACAGATCTGATTGAATCTGAAGCTTTAAACTACTGTTACAGAGCCTCTTGTGAAAGGGGAGTATTTAGGTAAAAAAGACAGGAAGGACCAGCATTCCATGCAGGGCAAGAAGCATGGATGTAGTCAGGATAAGCGGCAAGACGGTCTTCGGTGCACCCAGGAGCAGCAAGCAGGCCTCCCAGTGGAGCACAGGGTTCACCCGGTGACCTGGGGGAGCGTGCTTCCAGCTCACCTTCCAACACCTCAAAAGAAACCTTCATTCTTTCCCTATACCTTACACCGGAAATATCAGAAATCTAGTTTTCTGTACAGGTGGGAAGAGTCTTTAGAGAAGGCTGCCTTTTCTTGGAGATGTTGCACAGATTATTGAAAGGAAGAGCATTCACAGTTTATAAACTCCCCCAAACCTCACAGCTGTGGCAAACCATCTCCCCACATGTTGGAAGCATCTTACATTCAGAGATGAAACCAATGTTAGGCGTCGTTCAATCTCTGCCACGGGACATTGGTTTTATGAGAACCTTGCAACCTGTCAGAGACAAACCCCCCAATTTGGTGAGGAAAACCATGTTCACCGGGTTATGGCCAAGCTGTGTGACAGCGAGCAGGGGTGCTGAGACGTGAAGTGGTGCTGGAACTGAGCGCAGAGCCCTCTCCATCCCCTGAACGCCCCAGAGTGAGATCCCTGGGTTCCAGGGCCTAACGTCTTCTGTCCTGAGAATAGAGGGCTGTTCATCCTGGGAAGTGATCATTGCTTTAAAAAAAAGTTCATTTTTATCACAGCAATATGTACACTTTAAAAAGTCAAATAGTATTAAATGGATATTTCCTTTGCATTGATTTTCTTCCTGATTTCATACACTTTAGACATTACACATGGTTTTGACCTTGTATGATGACAGTTGAGAGAGGAAAATGTTCTTGAGAGAAATGGGCGGGGCGGCTCCTGTACTGAAGACGGCATGCGTCTCCTTGGTTTTTCTGGATGAAAATGCATTGCCTCGTTATTTTACTGGTTCGCATTTCACAAGACACACACTTTTTAAAAGACTCTGTTAGTCTAATTTACCTTTCTGATACTTGTTTTTATTTTTCAGGAGTTTTACCAAAGGGGAAGTGATCCAGATTTAGTGTGCCTATGAAATGAAATGGAAAAGAAAGGTTAAAATGTTTTTCTTACCCCTCTGTAGTGTGGAGTCCCTGACCCTTTTCAAAGGACATGGACGGTGTGGGCGAGTGTGGTGACGGCAGCGGCAGGTTCTGCCTGGCTCCCCGTGTGACCTCGGCCAAGTCATCCAGCCTCTGGATTCGCTTTGCTCACATGTAACATAGAAGACATCAATATCCTTGCCCCAGAACTGCTGCGACAAATAGCATCTCATAAGAGAATATTTGGGAAGACACTTTGGAAATACCAGGATTGCCAAATGCTAAGTAATTTTTGTTTGTGCCACCCTGTTTCAATTAACTTGAGCCGAGATGCTATAGCAGCCATGGTCCCAGCAGAAAGGGTCCTCTGATTCGTTAGATTCGTTGATACTTTCAGCAGTGTCGTTAGAACTCCTCATGGGTGTGACCCCCTTAGAGGTTTGTCTGAGCTTCACGTGGCCTCTTGTTGGCTTGTCATTGTCCACCACACTGAAAGAACTTCCTTTTGAGTGTAGGTGGTGTCTGCCAGGTTTCTCTTGTATGAAGTCACAAATTTTCCTTTTATAATTAAAGCGCAATGTGTGGGGAGATACCCTGAGACTATGTAAATGCCCCATTCTCATCAACCTTTTCCCACTAGTTTTGGTATTTACCACTAATGTGTTTTTAATTCCCTCATTTCTTCTACATTTCTTGATTGACACTTCACTCTAGGGAAGAGCTTTCTCTTTTCCCCACTTATTTTTTGTTCATCCACTTATTATCATTATGAACTCATGGGTTCTTACTGTATGCAATGGATGACAATTCTTTGCTGTCATTACTTACTCGGATGCTCAGTTGCCCCCACTTTGGCCAGTGGGAGTGCTTTAATGGCCGGCAGGGTTGCTGTACTCGGGTGTGATAAGACAGGCAGGGATGGAAACGACTGTCATGAAGGAAGACATTTTTCATGCTTCCAGGTCCTAGGAACAGGGGGAAATGCCACGTAGGGCTGCAGGGAGAAGCACCCTGGCCTGTCAGGAGGCAGAGGAAGTGAGGGGAAATATGGGAGCCCTTTCTGTGGTTTCCATGTGAAGGAATGGGCGAGGCAGGGTAAACAAGCTTCAGATCAGCTAGTTTGAATAATGTCAGCAGACTCTGGGGCTCAGGGGCCCTTCCTAGCCATCTGGGATCAGGCCCCGGGGTGAGCAGGGCAAGGCGACCGTGGTCCTGAGAGTGAGAGCGAGAGCAGAGAGAGGAAGTGGTTAGGGTGCGGCCTCTGAAATGGTTGGTCTCCGAGTGAGAGGGCAAGTGACTGACTATCCCTAAGAATCAGCTAACCCTGGCGGGGCAGCCCCCGCACAGTCAGCAAGGTTCCAGTGTGGGAGCCTCAAACACAGACCCTGGAAAATGTGGTTATTATCCGAGCTAAGTCCAGTACCCCTTTGCTCTGGGGGGCAGGGGTGTGGACCATGAATGATGTGGTAACATTAAGGACTTGAGCTACGTAAACTGCAGTGAATCTTACTCCTGTAGGCTGAACCTGGAAACATTTACCGCTTATGCCTGGGGTGCCAATGTGCATCTCAACACCAGTGGTGTCTGCAAACTCTGCACAGTGGCTAGGAACCCAGGAAGGAGTGGGAAGTGTGTGTGTGTAGGGGGAAGTTGTTCCATATCAGTAATAGAGACAAATTCAGAATGAAAACTTGTATACTGAAGAGGACCTTAGAAATCCAATCCCCAACTTTTACAAATAAGGAAACTGAAGCCCAGAGATTTTAAACAAAATATCCACATTGATACAACCAGTTTCTGGGGAGTAGATTTTTTTTTTTTTTTTTTGCTCAAGAGCACCTGAGTTCTAGTCAAGTGGCCTCTCCTCGCAGCTGTCCTCGGCACATTCCACTTTTGTTCTGGTAGAAAGAAGTTTGACAAGTGTTTTTTCTTTCTGACAAAAGAAGAAGACCTAAACAACGTAATAATTACTTTTCAAACACTACCTGTTACTAACACCTGCAGCTCTACAACTCTCTTGCTCGAAAGACTTCATCGACTCCATTCACATTTTATGTTTCCTTGTGAGAGAGCTGTGGTTCCAGGTATTGTGTGGATTTGTTCCAATTTTAACTCGGTGTTTAGCCTAATATACTCTTCCTCCAATTGTGTTTAGTACTAAACTATTGAGAAAACTTATGTAGAAAATATTCTTCTAACAAGTGATAGCTTAAACTGTAATCCATTAGACTTCTCGTACACTTGGTGTGAGTGAGTCTATAAAGACTGTGTATGATTTCTGCAGAGCTGGAAACAGACAGGAAATGACTCCTGGTCGGAGATAAAAGACCCTGTTTCTGAGCACAATGATATCCTGAGGCACCGGCTTTCTGTTTGTTCTGTGACCAGATGAAGAAATATGAAAAGCAGAAAGAACTCCATGGCCCCACAGGAAATTAGGGAACTGTTTCACCTGCTTATTAGAAACCCAATTTTCTTTCTTGAGAGACAACAGTGTCCTTGGGAAAGCAGGTGGAGAAGATTTTATCAAAACCCTTTCATCTGAAGGAAGAAGAGGGGAAAGCAGGCCATTTATTCATTCAACAAATATTTATGAACACTCAGTATGTGCCAGGCATGGTTATGTGTAGTGACTTGAAAGAGATAAAAATATTTCCCTTATATAGCTTGCATTCTATTAGGGGAGGAGACCTGTGAAAGCATGTCCAGAGCAAAGCATGTCAGGGAACAAAGACCTGAAGGAGTTAAGGGTGTGAGCCTGGGGCTGAGAGGGCGCAGGAATGCTCCAGCTGGAGCAAAGGCCCTGGGGCAGGACAAGCGCCTGCATCCTGTGCGGTCAGAGAGCAGTGGGTAAGGGGAAAGTGCAGGCCGTTGACCATCGAGCAACAGACTAAAGGAGGTCAATCCCCATGCAGTGGAAAACCTTCATATAGCTTTTGACTCCCCTCAAAACTTAACCAATAATAGCTTGTTGGTGACTAGAAGCCTTACTGATAACATAAGCAGTTGATTAACAAATCTTTTATATGTTATATGTATCATAGAGTGTATTCTTACAATAAAATAAGCTAGAGAAGAGTAAATGTCATTAAGAAAATCATGAGAAAGGGAAAATACCTTTACAGGACTGTGCCTATTTATTGAAAAAAGTAAGTGGACCTGTGCGTTGAAACCCACGTTGCTCGCGCTGGGCGAAGATGAGGCCAAGGTAAAGATGAGACAGGGTGGGTGGCGGAACTGAACGTGTGGGGCCACGGAGACAGGAAGAAAGGCAGCCCGCCACCTGGAGTCCTCGTCACAGTGCAGGTGGGAGATCTGAAATCAGTGGCATTTGAACCTTCAGGATACTGTTGGCGCAGCAAATTCAATGGCCATTTCTTTGTACCCGAGAATAACCCAAGTACGAGTAATCTCACTCCAAAGGTAGTACAGGAATAGGGGTGGGATTGCATGTTAAACTGAGTGTTTATGTCTCCCCCAAATTCAATGCTGAAATCCTAACTTCCAGTGAGATGTTCCAACAGGGGAACTTGGGGGTGATTATATCATGAGGGCAGTTTCTTCATGAATGGGATTAGTGTGCCCTTATTTAAAAAGGCCCCAGAGAGTTCCACCCCCACCCCGCCATGTGAGAACAGAGATAGAATCCATGAACCAGGAAGTGGGTCCTCACCAGACACCGAGTCTGCTGGAACCTTGACTTTGGACCTCCCAGCTGCTATAACTGTGAGAAATGAATATTCATTGTTTAAGCCACCAGTTCATGGCACTTTGGTCACAGCAGCCTGGACGAACTCTGACAGACTGTATGCCTTGGGCTGCAACACAGCCACTTCCCGAAGGCCTGCGGTGGCGGCAGCTGAGGCCTTGTGCCTAACCTTCACCGCGTCCTCCTCAAAGGAGGGGGGCACTTGAGAAATCAAATTATCACGGCTCTTATCTCAGAGCCCGTGACACATTAGGCCACTGGGGCAAGATAGTGTGTGTTCTCCTCAGACGGCCTGCCACTTGGGAAGCCTGGAGAATTATTAATTTTTGAACCTCCTTATCATTTATGTTGACTGAGATCTCTTTTAATAATCAAGTTACTCAACCGTAGTATAATTTGTATGAGTTGGAAAGGCGCTTTGCTTCCCACAACTAATTAAGTACATCAGCCTTGCAAAAGAAGTCTTCAGATGTCTTAGGCTGTGGAGAGTGCACCCCTCCCACCCACTCCGACATGCGGTTCGTCCCATGACTCCCAGCCAGAGCCACTGCCTTCCCCCTTGGTGCCACCTGCCCCTACCCCGCTCCCTCCAAGGATGCCACTCTCTGCAGCAGAGATAGGGCCTGGTTGTGCAAATGCGTGGTTTCCTCCTGCCACCTAAGAAAAAATAAACAGGGCCCAGGAGACAGTGTTACCACATCCATTTGGTCTCTTTTTCACCGATGGACTTTCAACAAAACTTCTGCTTATTTTTTCTTTCAGTTTCCCTGTCCATGGCAAGTAGCACTGCTTCCATGATTAAGACCCCTCGCCTGAGTTACCGCTCACCCTGATGGGTCTACGTGGAACACAAATAAAACCAGAATTCCTTTCATTTCCCCTCCATTCATTCTTCTTCCAGCTCTTCATATTCACTTGGCTGTGGTGGCCTTCTGAAGCTGAGTGAGAAGCTTAGAAGAAGATTCTTCTGGGGTTGTTCGTCTGGTGGTCAGAAATGAACATTTCTGGGTGCACTGGCATGCCCTGGCTAGCTTCTGGAACCCCGAGTCCCAGGAAACCCTGCCTTCCTAGGGAGCTGCAGCCAGCCAGCTCTGACCGCAGCACAAAATCTCTACTCTGAGTTAAAAAGCACACAGAAGCCACAAGGAGTGCTTTGGAGAAGACTCTAGAAGCAGAAGGATGATCCAGAGAGTGACCAAAATACAGGGTCCAGGAGCAGTTACACAGGTGGGATGTGGAGCCAGGTGTCCCTGGTCCAAGGAAATTCAAAATACACAGCAGGTCAGAGAGGGTGGTTTCAACAGCCCCAGGAGCTCCAACTTGCTTTTGTGGCCCAGTGATGTGAGTGGACAAGTCTGCTGGTTTAAGCTTTGTTGAGCGTGCATGCGAGCTGAGTCACATCTGGGTGTTGGTAGTGACAACTGGAGCATCTGGGCTGGATCTCCAGCTGAAGAGTGGTATCACCGTGACACTTAGTGGTACAGCTCCACCAGGCATACTTAACTGGTGATTCAAGGGACACGAGGCAGGAAAGGTGCAGCCAGAGGCACAGGGTGACCTGGGTCTAGGGCCTTAGATCTGGGTCCTCAGTGTTGGTGAAAGGGAGCAATTTTGCCTCCCAGGGGATATCCAGAAATGTCTGGACACTTTTTCGGTTGTCATAACTTGGGATGAGGGTGCTACTGGTGTTGGATGGGTAGAGAACAGAGATGTTGCCAACATCCTGCAACGTACAGGACAGCCCCCGCACCAGAGAAGCATGTAGCCCAGAAGGTGGAGACATCTGCTTAGATTCTGGGAACTGCAATGTCCTACATTAGCCATTAGGAGAGTGCTCAGTCCCTCTGGGACTACGTCAAGGTCAAGGGAACCTTATCTGTTCAT